TACTATATCCATAGCTGAGGGATCCCATAAATCAGTTATTGGTTCTGGTAACATTCAAATTCAACCTTCCTTGTTTCTTAAAAATGTTCTTTATATTCCTCAGCTTTCTACTAATCTTATCTCCACTCAAAGACTTACAACTGATTTGAATTATTCTATCACATTTTTTCCTTCTCGTTGTGTTATTCAGGATCTTACCACGAAGAAGACAATTGGAGTTGCTAATGAACAGGATGGGTTGTATCATCTCTTTCCAGACCATGCTAGCAAAAATCAGTTATTAATGACACGTCATCCTTCTACTGCAGAGTCTATGATTTGGCTCCATCACAAGCGTCTGGGGCATCCACCATTTAGTCTTTTGAAGTCTATGTTCCCTTCTATGTTTCTCAATAAGTTGGTTGAGACCTTTCATTGTAATGTTTGTGAATTTGCAAAACACCATAGAGTGTCATTTCCTTCTAGCACTATTAAAAGCAGGGAACCTTTTTCTCTTATCCATTCTGATGTTTGGGGCTCTTCTAAAGTGCACAGTGTTTCAGGTGCAAGGTGGTTTGTTTCTTTTATTGATGATTGTACTCGGGTAACATGGATATACTTGATGAAAGACAAGTCTAAAGTACCAGAGATATTTATTCGGTTTCATCATATGGTTGAGACTTAGTTTGGTAAGGGTATTAAGACTAAGCTCTGATACCATGTAAAGAACCTTGGGATACACCACCCCCAAAAGCTAGCTCAAGAGGTAGGAGTGCCCAAGGCCTTATAATCCACATTAGTTGCACATACAACCAATGCGGGACTATATATCTCAACCACTTGAAAAAGGGTATTCTAATATATTATAGAAAATTGTAAATTATATGTACAAAAGGGTTCTCTATTTATAGAGAATACACGACCTAGAATACTTGACCTAATAGGCTAAGCCCAATACAACAAATAATAAATAAATAAATAATAATATTTACAACACTCCCCCTCAAGCTGAGGAATAGATATTTATCATTCTCAGCTTGCTAGTAAGTTCTTGAAATCTGTCTGAAGGGAGCCCATTTGTCAATAGATCAGCTAATTGACGCCCAGTGAGAATGTATGGAGTGGTAATCAACCCGCTATCAAGTTTCTCTTTGATGAAATGGCGGTCGAGCTCAATATGTTTAGTCCGATCATGTTGAACTGGATTATGAGCTATACAAATAGCAGACTTATTATCACATAGTAGCTTCATAGGTCCCTCACATTTTATTTTGAGATCATCAAGTACAATTTTCAGCCACAGTAACTCACAAATGCCTTGAGCCATAGCTCGAAATTCAGCTTCTGCACTTGATCTGGCAACCACATCTTGTTTCTTACTTCTCCATGTCACCAAGTTACCGCAAAGAAACATGCAATAACCAGTGGTAGAACGACGGTCAGTCACGGATCCAACATAATCAGCATCTGTGTAGACTTCTAAAGATAGATTGCCATCACGTCGGAATAACAATCCTTTACCAGGAGTACCTTTAAGATACTGAAGAATTCTCTCTACTGCCTGCATGTGTTTTTCCTTTGGATCGTGCATAAACTGACTGACAACACTAACAGCATAAGCTAGGTCTGGTCTAGTATGGGCCAGATATATCAATTTCTCAACTAGCCGTTGAAATTGTCCTTTATCAACTGGAGGACTCTCTTCTTCATACCCCATCTTGTGATTCTGCTCAATAGGAGTATTAGAGAGTTTACACCCGAGCTTTCCTGCTTCTTTGAGAAGATCAAGAACATATTTCTTCTGGCTGATAAAAATTTCTTTGCTTGAATGAGCTACTTCTATCCCTAGAAAATATTTCAGTTTCCCAAGGTCTTTGACTTCAAACTCAGAGGCAAGCCGTGTTTGCAGAATTTGTCTCTCCACAAAATCATCACCTGTGATAATAATATCATCAACATATACAAGGAGCACAGTAAGCTTCCCATTTTGGGAGTGCTTGAAGAAAAGAGTGTGATCTCCTTGACTCTGTCTGTATCCTAAGGTCATCATAACCTTAGTAAACCTTCCAAACCAAGCACGAGGTGACTGCTTCAATCCATACAAGGCCTTTTTTAATCTACAAACTTTATTTTCCCCTTTCACAGAATCAAAACCAGGCGGGATTTCCATGTAGACTTCTTCTTCTAACTCACCATTGAGGAAAGCATTTTTCACATCAAATTGATTTATATCCCAATTGTAATGGGCAGCAAGGGATAACAAGATTCTCACTGTATTCATCTTTGCAACTGGAGCAAAGGTTTCTTCATAATCAATGTCATAGGTTTGAGTGTAACCTTTGGCCACTGATCGAGCCTTGTATCTCTCAAGAGTGCCATCAGAATTATATTTCAGGGCATAAACTCATATGCACCCTACTGCTTTCTTTTCGTTGGGTCTATCAATAACCTCCCATGTTTTATTTTTCTCCAACGCATTCATCTCCTCTTGCATGGCTTGAGCCCAATTCCCATCTTTCAAGGCTTCATGTACTGATTTTGGGATTGCAATATAATCTAGTGCTGAAACAAAACTTTTGTGCTGCACAGAAAGATTAACAGAGGAAACAAAGTGGGAGATAGGGTATTGAGTACAAGAAGGACATGAGGAACAAGTTTTCTTGTGACAAGATCTTTTTCCTTTTCTAAGAGCAATAGGTAAGTCATCAGAAGCAGAAGCAATGGGTAAGTCATTAGAGATATTAGAAGAAATAGACAAATCATGAGAGGAAATAATATTAGAATCAGAAACAGGAGATTCAGGAGACTCAGAAGAAATAGAAGATTCAGGACTTACCAGTGGTTCAGACGATTGAGGTTGCTGGTGAGACAGTATGGGTTGTATCTCAGGTGTATTGGAAGGTTCTGACACACCAGGAGCAGACACACTAGGAAGAGAGAAGATTGATCCAGACTCAAAGAAGGAAGAGGACGAGTCTTCTGAAGAACTGTTCTCCCCCTGACGATGAAGACCCAGGAAATAAGATTCAGATTCTTGAAAGGTGACATCCATAGAAACAAAAAAATTTCGACTTGGTGGATGATAACACTTGTACCCTTTTTTATAAGGGGTATAACCAAGGAAGACACACTTAAGAGCCCTAGGATCCAACTTACTCCGATGTTGTTTATGAACATGGACAAAGGCAACACATCCAAACACTCTTGGTGGAAGGCTCTGCAATATGGGAACAGAAGGAAAGAAGGAAGTCATAGAATGAATAGGACCGATATTGTTAAGGATCCGTGAAGGTAAACGGTTGATCAAAAAAATTGCAGCTAACACTGCTTCTCCCCAATAAGAACTAGGAACAGATGTCTGGAAAAGTAGAGCTTTAGCAACTTCAAGGAGATGACGATTTTTCCTTTCAGCAACCCCGTTTTGTTGAGGGGTATCAACACATGTGAGCTCATGAATCATACCTCTGTCTGAAATGAATTGTGACAGGCATTGATTGACGTACTCAGTACCATTATCAGATCTTAGTCTTTTAATACCCTTACCAAACTGAGTCTCAACCATGTGATGAAACCGAATAAATATCTCTGGTACTTCAGACTTGTCTTTCATCAAGTATATCCATGTTACCCGAGTACAATCATCAATAAAAGAAACAAACCACCTTGCACCTGAAACACTGTGCACTTTAGAAGGGCCCCAAACATCAGAATGGATAAGAGAAAAAGGTTCCCTGCTTTTAATAGTGCTAGAAGGAAATGACACTTTATGGTGTTTTGAAAATTCACAAACATCACAATGAAAGGTCTCAATCGACTTATTGAGAAACAGAGAAGGGAACATAGACTTCAAAAGACTAAATGGTGGATGCCCCAGACGCTTGTGATGGAGCCAAATCTTAGACTCTGCAGTAGAAGGATGACGTGTCATTAATAACTGATTTTTGCTAGCATGGTCTGGAAGGAGATGATACAACCCATCCTGTTCATTAGCAACTCCAATTGTCTTCTTTGTGGTAAGATCCTGAATAACACAACGAGAAGGAAAAAATGTGATAGAACAATTCAAATCAGTTGTAAGTCTTTGAGTGGAGATAAGATTAGTAGAAAGCTGAGGAACATAAAGAACATTTTTAAGAAACAAGGAAGGTTGAATTTGAATGTTACCAGAACCAATAACTGATTTATGGGATCCATCAGCTACGGATATAGTATGACTACCAACAGTAGGATGATAAGAACAAAACAACTCAGTACGACAAGCCATATGATCAGTTGCACCAGAATCCAAAATCCATGAAGTTTTAAAATCAGTGCAAGAAGCAAGAAGAGATATAGAACGTGTGCTCTTACCAGATAAGATCAAAGAACTGTCATTCTCGGCCATTCTTCAATAAAAAAGTTAACAACCAGCGATAAAATTGACCAAACAGATATCAAATGAAGTCCGATCAGTGAAATAATCACAGATCCAGACAGAGAACAAGGAGACGAGAAGAATGGCAGTGGTCCGGTCAAAAACAACTGCCGCACGCGCCTCCACGCACCACAGAAAAGGGGCTGCGCGTGGGCTTCACTTGTCGGGAAAGAGCTGGCGCGTGGAGGGGATTTTCTGGCTGAAATTTTTCTGGCGTGGCCGTCCGGTGAGCGTGCACCTGTCTGTGGGTGGTCGCGGTTGAAAAGTTGCCGGAAAGTGGTCCAAACGGTGAAGACAGATCTAATTGGAGGCGATCAGAGGTGTTTGGGTCGTTTGTGGCGGAGGAGCTGTACGTAGAATGATAGATCGGAGAAAATAAAGGTCAACAAAGGTCCCCTTGGTCCAAAAGGTCCGCGGAAAAATTTTCCGGTGGCGGCTGATGGCGGCAAGAGGCAAAGAAATTAGGGTTGTGTTTAAAAAAAAAGACAATATGTGCGGAAGCAGAACCCTCAAATCGAGAGCTCTGATACCAACTTGAAAAGGGGTATTCTAATATATTATAGAAAATTGTAAATTATATGTACAAAAGGGTTATCTATTTGTAGAGAATACACGACCTAGAATACTTGACCTAATGGGCTAAGTCCAATACAACAAATAATAAATAAATAAATAATAATATTTACAACAATAAGGTATTATCCAAATAATATTCTAAACAAAACAGTTTTTTGAATTCAAACTTCAAATTTAACAACCTAAATTTTTTTTTTTTCACTGCTCCATGCAGAAACGAGAATCACTCAATAATAATTTCTGGCTGGCTAAGGCTACCGATATTGTCAACACCGCAACCATTGGAAGGTTTCCCTATATGAACCTCAACCAAGACAAAGTTCCCATGGTTGTTTCCCTTGAGTAAGCTATACTTTGGAGGTTCAGAAGATTCATGTTTGGTTGCATTTGTAGTTGCCAAATGAGGAGTGACATTTTTACAGCACTCTTTACCACACTTTTCCACAGTAAGAAGCCCTTGGCTCTCCTCATCATTATTACTTTGCTTGTCAAGTAGAGTTATGGTCTTATCTTCCAAGAAGGTGCCATATTTAGACTTTGTAGATTCTCTTTCATACTTTGGTTTCTCTTGTAAAATCAACATGCTATTGAGAATCACAAGTAAACAGGTCCCTACATCAGCCAACACAGCAAGCCAAACTATTGGATATCCTGCAATTGCCAATACCAGTATGGCACTCTTGGAGACAACTGAAATAATGACATTCTCAATGAGCTTTCTTGTAGTTTTTCTAGCTAGCTTAATGGCTTCAGGTATTTTTCGGATGTCATTTGACATGAGAATTGCATTGCCTGACTCATTTGCTAGAGCTGAACCAGATATTCCCATTGAGATACCAATGTCAGCTGTAGCTAATGCAGGAGCATCATTCATGCCATCTCCAACCATGGCTGTTAGTCCATCTTTCTTGAAACTCTCAATAATCACTGCCTTTTCCTCGGGTAGAAGTTCTGCATGAACAATGTCTAGAGCATGGTTCAACTGCAGAGGATAAGTCAGCAATTTTCTTAAGTTCGAAGTTTTAATATATGTCACAACAAGCAGCATTAATGACCAAAACAGTAGAGAGATGATATTTTCTGTTAATAACAAAGTCTATTTAAAAAAAAACACATTTGTGAGAGAAGATTGTTGGTTAAATAGAGTATTGGTTACTATGAGCATACCTGACTCTCAACATACTTAGCAGCTTGAGTGCTATCTCCTGTTAGCATGGCTGATCTCACACCTAATGACTTTAGCTCTTCTATTGCATCCAAAGCACCTGATCTGCAAGTATCAACCAGGCTGAAGACTCCAACCAGAGTTGATCCCCTCGGGGTTGAAATTTCTTGACTTACTAATTGCACATTACAATCAACTATAAATATAATAGAAATAGATTAATTGAATTATAGTACATAAACTTTCACATAAATAAGAACAATGAAGCATAAAGGGTATTGAAATAAACTGGAATTGTTTCTAGAGGAATTCAAATACACTTTTGAGTCACTGATGAACTATAAACTACTAGCTACAGGCTACAAACTAAAGACTACTGCTATAGGCTACGAACTATGTTAATGGCTACTTTATACGTACAAGAATATGAAGAACTACATTAATAAAAAAAAAAAAAAAAACCTAGAAAAATGTATGGAAAAAAGTCTGAGAATAGTTCTGGTAACTTGGGTCCTGTTGCGGGTAAAGATTGTATAGTGTCGAAGATCCTTTGCAACGTTAACATGACCTCTTATTTATAGACTAGTATGATAAGCCCTCCAGGGATTGAGTTTTATCTATTCTAAGAGAATTTGATCATTAATATAAGAGGTAGGACTTAGATGAACATAGCTTTTGGGTACATAAAGGAAGAGTTGAGTGAAATCAAATCCTAACATTTATTTTTTATTGTTAATTATCGTTTACTTGTGCACTTCTGCATGCATTGTGAACTAAATCAAAAGTTTAAACAAGTCCAATTAATGCAATTACAAGTAGTAGTTTGTAGAGCTCCCTTCATTTTAAATCCTAAGTTCAACCACACACATTCAGGTATTCAAATTAGAAAGCATACAAGAATTGATTTTGAAATTAAAGATACAGTTTTAAAATCACCTCTTTCGCAGCCTGCTCTGACACCAATTCTCGTATTGCCTACATATATATCCTTCCCATCAATTGCACCAAAAATTCCTTCCCCCGGAAAATTTTGAAAATTCTCCACATTTTCAGGGATGGGTTTGATAGAATGCAACATTCCATATTCCACTAGTGCAGCTGCCATAGGATGACTTGATTTACTCTCAATGCTTGAAACCCTACAAAATTTTCATTAACCAAATCAAATTAGTCTTGAATTATAAATTCTCCAGACACAATGTATTAACTGTCTCATGTTTAATTATAAAAGTTACCAGTACAATAAGGCTTCTATGCTAATGTCATCTGCAACAACAGAAAAATCTGTCACAGAGAACTCTCCTCTTGTTATTGTGCCCGTTTTATCAAAAGCAACTGTCTTAATTCCAGATAGTGTTTCAATATAATCTCCACCTTTCAGTAATAATCCACTTATTGCAGCTTTTGTTAGAGCACAAAAGATTGTAACAGGTGTGGAGAGGATGAGAGCACAAGGGCATGCACTCAATAAAACCACAATTGCCAGATGAAACCAAGGATTAATATCAGGAACTCCTAATACAGCTGGAACCACAGCAATGCTAGCTGAAATCAAGACAACCACTGCAATAGTACATATATGAATGAAAATGTCAGTATATACTATGATAATGTAGGTTGTAAAGAATCAATTCAACCTAAAAACTTAAGCTGGTGGGTGAGGGCTTTTTAATGGTTTTATATATCTCAACACGCCCCCTCACACGATAGCCCATTGGGCTTAAAGAGTGGACAATATACAGGCCCACCTACCTGTGCGAAGAAAGAAATTCCACTAGAAGAAAGTGGGGGCGGTGAGGTTCGAAGCCGGTACACCGAGGCTATGATACCATGTAAAGAACCAATTCAACCCAAAAGCTTAAACTGGTGGATGAGAGCTTTTTTAATGGTTTTATATATCTCAACATAGGTCACCAGCATATTTATCAATCTAAGTATCAAACTTAGAAAGTGAAAATGACAATTTGAAAAGTACATTTTTTTCTTCTCACTTCCACAAAAGGAAAAGAGTTGGTGTATTTACTTAATACTTACCTGGAAGATAGTATTTTGAAAAATTATCTATGAATCTTTGTGTTCGAGATTTTCTGCTAGAAGCCTCTTCAACAAGTTTTGACATTCTTGCCACCACTGTGTCATTTGCCAACACTGTAGCTTTTACACTTATATATCCTGGAATGATAAGTACCCAAAATCATTTTAGGAGAAGTATTGTTTTAGGAGACAAAACAAAAGAGATGAAAAATAACTAAATACTTAACCATTCAGATTAATAGTTCCAGCCCAGACTATTGAATCTAACTCTTTGGTAACAGGGAATGATTCTCCTGTTAACATCTTTTCATCAACTTCACACTTTCCTTCCACCACGACTCCATCAAGAGGAATAGAATCTCCAGCCTTGATCGCTAGGATGGTGTTGATCTCAACATCACTGACATCAACACGTTCCCCGGTCTCAGCAACAACAGCCTTTTGAGGAACCATGCTAGTTAAAGAGGACATTGCAACCGTTGCCTATGTATGTAAAAAAAAATAAAGTATAGACTTAGAACTCAAATGTAACCTGGTACAAAAAGTTGGATTAGCATTTCTTCCCTATAGCAGGAAGCTAGAGTATATTAATATGTACACTAAAGGCGCACAATTTGGGGACTAATCAAGTAGTAAGAGTTATTGAAGTGAGAAAAATAAAGCAAAATGTCAAGGAGAAAGGGGGAAGTGATTTCACCAAACCTTGTGAGTTGCCAATGTCTCAAGCCATTGAGCAATGGAGAACATGAAGATGATGACTCCAGCCTCCCAAAAATCTTGTATAGCAACAGTACCACACACTGCAAGATATGAATGGTGAAGCATAACAGAACATTCCATCATATATCAGAGACGCATACATGTTTTTTCCATACATCAGAAAAAGTATTCTTTTATTCTTTGGCAAGTAAACTACAAGTTAACTGTTACAAAAATATAATATAAAAGTTAAAACCATTAATATAGCCTTCATAGAACAAGTTAAATTTTTGGGTTGATTTGACACTTTATAGAGTCTATGTGATCAAGTGGTTAAGAGTTTGATCTTCACCGTCCTCATTCTCATTAAATAATTATATATTATAAAGTCTTTTAGCATAGGTAAATGAGAATTGTGCATTCTCACCTTTCAAGCCTGACTAATCAATAAATATATAATTCAAATCAATGTATTACCCATATGTAGATGTTACCTGACAATAGAACCAGAATGTTGATATTAAGAGTAAGAGCCCTAATGGAAGCTATGGTCCTGAATAGAACTCTAGGGAAGCCAATGGCAACAGAACCAAGAGCCAACCATCCCAAAGGGGGATATATATACTTCAAGAAAGAAAGTGCTAGTAACAAGCCACACGCTATAGTAGATAAGTCTGGCCATTTTTTTTCATTGTTGGCCTCTCCCTGTGGCTTCAAACTAGCTTCAAGTCTTGCCATATTCAGTGTATCAGCTGACACAATCACATAAATTAAGATCAAGACATTCAGGTTGTGTCTATTTGAAAAAGAAAAAAATGACTTTCATGCATATAGTTTCACCTCATTCTTGATATTTAGGGACAGAAAATATTCTAAAACAAAATACATATTTCAGTGAATGGAAAAGATATATAACCTTAGCTAAAACGTAACTAAGGACTCAATAACTAATAACAACAACAACAATAATAATAAAAAAAGCTTATGGTAGGTAATATTAGATCATTTAATCCATGAACATGCTGTGAAAGCATAGACTAACACACCACATAAATCCAAATAACAAAGAAAACTATGAGCTATAACATAAAGAAATAGTCAACGTTTCTCATAATCATTTTAGAAATTCAAATGGATGCCTGATTTGCCAATTCATGTTATATATTTTGCACCAAAGGAAAGTTAAGAGAAAAATAGTATAGAACTCACTTATTTGTGACTCAGAAATTAAGAGAACATCATGGACCACATGGACTGTTTTGGTAGGGACTATCACAGAGATGTCTTTTACTCCATGAAGAGGCTTCAAAATTCTTTCAACCAGTTCCGCTTCTGTAGCACAACACAATCCCAACACTTCAAAGTTGCTTCTCTTCATATTTTCAACCATTTTTTTCACTCTGCGTTTCAAAAGGAAAACCAAAGAACAAACAAGATCTAGAGCATGCAAAACTTAAATATAAGACAATAGGAGTTAGTGCCTTCTCTGGTTCAAGCTTCTCTAGTTACATATGATCTTTTTTAATTTTTTTTTTTTTTTTATCTTCTTCCGACTCTTCTGAGTTTTGCTTTAGAAATATTATAAATAAGAAGTAAACTCTCAAATTTAATTTTGAAAATTTTAGTGGTGCAAATATTAGTTTTGAATTTTTAAAATTTTCAAATATGAATCATATTAAAAAAATAATTTATCTATCTATCTATTGACGTAGACATTTATAATCTTTTTAGATGCCTTAGTAAAATATGAAATAGTAATTTTATTTTTTTATATTTTGGTAAGCGAAATAGTAATGTTAACACGGTTGAAGTTCCTTTCCTATTGCAATATACTAATTTTGTTTTTAATTTCGTTTGCGTCAGAGTTTGATTGTAAGTCACGAAAACCAAAGGACCAAATCAATCATGTAAATTTGTAAATTGCACCGGCCCGACCAGCCGGTTTCATCCGCGAACCGATCATGTAATCGGCCGAGTGATGCAATGAATTGACATCCATTAGAACTAACGTGACACGCTTCATTTTTTTTTTTTTTGAAAATCGATAACTCGACCTGATTCAAAAATATTATAATAGATATAATTAAGTATTTTTTTACTTATTAATTTACATATGTTATGTGCCTGTAATATTAATATTAATTCAACTATGTAATATGTAAAATATTTTGATTTGATTTATAACAATAAGTATCATTCATTGAATTTGATGAAGCCACGTATCACGATCATTATATTTTTGTTTGATGGATAATAATGTATGGTTTATTATTTTTATATTAAAATATTTGAAATTTTTCTCAAATTTTTTAGATATTTGAGTATGTTTATAATTTTTAATTTAAATTATAGAATTACATATAATTATCGGGTCATGCAGTTCAACGAGTGACCCAATGATTGAATCAGTGACCCAATACTTCGGCTGGGTCAATGACTGGGCTGGTTTTAATAACATTAGTTTCAATTCTTAAAGGAAAAAATGTGTATTATTTTAAAGGACACAAACCTATATCATTTTAAATAAGATATAAATCATGGAAAAAAGAGTGGGTGAAAAATATTTTAAAAGTGTGGATCTCATCTCTTTGTAAGAGTGAAATGATATAAGGTGAAAATTATAATGCTAATATAAAAAAAAAAAACGTGAAAATAGTCGTGATTATATAATTGATTTTTTTTAATAGATGTGACTTGATAGTTGATTCAACTCTTTCTTAAATCTTTTATCATCAAATTCCGAAAATTCAATCTTTGAGATAATATTTTTAATTTCTAATAAATTTTATAATATGATGAAAGTCCTAGGAAAAAATGTAAACGTCATTGTGATATTATATGTTACTTGAAATTGGTATTTTTTATTTAAAATTTAAATTAAAAATTTATATTTTTTTCCCATTATTTTCATTTCGTATCTCTTTCTCATACTTTATTCTATGTTTTCGAAAAAGACAAACATCAAACTATAATTAAAATCCACGTTATTAAGTTTCTAGTAATTGAAAAACATTTTTCATCTTTAAATGTTTTAACTATTATATTAAAAAACAATTATACAAATATATGAAAATATTAAGATTTCAAGATAATTTTATCTCTTACACGTACATAAAAATGTGATAAGATCGTATAAAATCATATGAAAAGAAAGAAGAGTGAGCAAAACACACATAAGCCTCTTATGGTAATTAAAATCTCGATTTAAATCTACGTTTTTATGATTTTATGATTTTTTTAATCAAAATAATTTCATCAAAATTTCAAATGCTTTTACACTTTTATGATTTTTTACGATTTTTTTTAATTATAATTTTACGTTTTACGATTTTTTATCATTTTTTTCAATTTTAAGTAAAATCTCGATTTTAACTATTATGAAGATAATTTATTTTAACAAACATTGATCTCATATATAAAGTTTAGATATTTGTCAATGGATAAAATATGTGTCATTTTAAAAGGGGTAAAGTTATGTCATTTTAAATAAGAGAAAGAAGTAGACAAAAGAGGATAAAGTGAAAAAAAAAAAAAAAAAAAAAGTGTAACACTCTTCCCTTTGTCAATTTCTAATTTCGATCAAATAAGGTTATTACAAAATAATTAAGAAGCAGAGGATGGACCTAGGGTTCTTCGATAGAACCTTGTACACAGAACAGTCACTCTTCACACGTTTTCTAGAGAAAATGCATTGATTTGGATTTTTTGGTCGAAGCAAGTCATGGCAGCAACGATTCCTTTTTCACTGCTTAGGTATGCATTCATGTTGACTCAATGAGCAGCTTATGTCAATTGCTTGCTTGCGTGAAATCTCAAGAATTTGGCTTCGAATTGGATTTGGCAGGAATTTCTCTTCGTTGAGATCAGCGAGGCCTTTCGTTTTCAAAGCCTCCAACTTTAATCTTCATCTTCCTCCTCAACCACGCAGGTTTCTGTTCATTCTCTGTCACTGAGCTTGGAAATTTTGTGTTACCAGCACAGTAATCGCAAAGATTAGTGAATTTTAGTTTTTTAACAAAATTGGGGAGAGATAGGAAAATTTCTTAGACTGTGAGTAAAATTTTAGCATTGGGAGCAGTTTTAATTTTTGAAGAGCAGAAAAGCTTATTATTTGTCTTAAAGAAAGCCTAAGTGCTGTTATAAAAAGTTGCATTCTGATTGGGATTATTAAAAATATTTGCATGCCATATGTGAAATTTAAGATCCAGATGTTTTGTAGTGTTGAAGACATAAGCTGTTTTGTTTGGATTTTCAAATTTTCTGTCTTCATCTTATTTGGAGGAAGTGACTAAGTGAGTTATTGTGTTTTGATGTTTTGGTTACTCATTACAGGTTGCCTTTTAGTACTAGTGCCGCAAACAATGAAGAGGCTGCAGCAAAAGCAGCTGCTGTTAATTTTGATAGTGAAGCTCCAACAATGTAACAACCCTTCTAGCAATAGTTTTGGATTTATTTCAAAGTTTTTTTTTTTTTTTAAATCATGATTTTTTTCCTTATTCCATGCAAGTATGGTGTCATGATTATTGATTAAACTCATACACTAGGGAGTACCATTCTCATTGCAAGATAGCAATTTTTCAAAACATTCCAACGATTCTGAACTTCTCTCCCTCCCTCTACTTCTAAGAATGACGTTCATGATAGAGTTGATTTTAAATGTAAAGGATTCACTGGGATATAAAGATTTTAAACCTCAATTATGCAAGGTTGCACTCACAAATGAGTACTGTGACACATGTATTCAAAGCGAAAGAGTTGCTTAATCATTTTACCGTTTTTCTTTTCTTTGTTTGTGTAATTTTGTGACCTCTATTTTCTTTCCAGATTTGACAAGATCATAAATAAGGAAATCCCTTCAAGCATTGTGTACGAAGATGAAAAGATTCTAGCATTTCGAGATATCAATCCACAGGCTCCAGTTCATGTTCTAGTCATTCCTAAATTTAGAGATGGATTAACACAACTTGGGAAGGTCACCAATCATTCTTTTTCTATGTGTACAGTAACAAAAAGTTTTGTATGATTCTTCTGTTTAATGATTTTCTTTTGCTCTTTTCCTCACTCTGGCTACTGACACCATGGAAAAAAACAAGGATTTATATATGCCTTCCTGTATAAAATTTTAGGGAAATAATAATGATTTGGGAAAATCCCTGTTTGCTCATGATATATTGGAATAGTAAGGTTGTAAGGACTAGGAAGATGTTGAATCGAAGACCAGAGGATGTATAGTTTATGAGGCCACATGCTAAGAGGAAAAGGAATAAGAATTTAAATAGAAAAGATTAGTGGTTGTAGCTGCTCCCTGTGTGTGTGCTAAGCATGGGAAAGACGAGTTTTTTATGTGATATATAAAATCTCCTTTTACAGGCTGATGGTAGACATGGGGAAATATTGGGTCAACTTCTCTATGCTGCCAAAATAGTAGCTGAGAAAGAAGGTATCCTTGATGGATTCCGGGTGGTCATCAACAATGGTCCCAGTGCCTGTAAGCTTGTTTAGTGTGAACAATGTATCTGTATCATTTTCACTTGCTTATATGGTGCCACTAAAGTCTCATGCTATTTATTTTGATTAGGTCAATCCGTGTACCATCTGCACTTGCATGTCCTAGGTGGGAGACAGATGAATTGGCCACCCGGTTGAAAGATGAAAGTTAATTCTGTTTAATACTTACTGGCTCCACTATCTTATTGTTATAATTTCCCGTGTTATAATTGCCTATTTTCTGATGAATATCACGTAGATATTTCTACTTCTTTAGTTGTATTTTGTGAGACCAACGTACAAATAATCTAGCAACTTGGGAATTGGGATCGTTCAGTTAGGTTTAATGATTATTTTTCGGCAGCTTAAAAATAGTTAAATACGAAAGGTGGATTGCTCGTTTTATTGAAAACCTAACCTTGTTAGGTCTCGAACAACATTGAGCATAATATTTGTTCATCTTGCCTTTCAAGAGTATTTTCATAGAATCCACCAGCTGGCCATAGTTTTGTATAAATTGTATTAATGGTATTAACGAATTTTACGGTAAAGCAGCACTACTTTGTTGCAATCAATACAATGGTACAAAACACACTTAGCCTATTTTGGGTCCACAATTCAATCTCAATTTGATGCTGGAAAAGTTTAGCAGAAAAATATTTGTGGAGTGGAAATAAATTATCTGTATTTACTTTCAAAATGACATTATTTTGAGATTGAAATATTAAAAAATTATAATTGTAAAAATTATAATAATTCTGAAATAAATTAAAATACAAAAATACCATAATTTTCGCTCCAAAATAACGTCGTATTAAACTTATTGCAAAAAAAGTAAACTCAAAGTTTATATATGTAATTTTTGGTATAAGATATATTTTCATCATTATATAATTCATTCTTTTTTAATTTGGTTTCTTTAATACATTTTTTCCAATTTTATCATCGTCTTCTATTGCTACAATGCCATAAGATTGACATGGAGTTGCTGTAAATTATATGAACTAAATCGGAAGTGATTAAAGTAGTAATATTTTATGATTATAATATATGTAATAAAAACTTTCAATGTAGCAACAAATTTCAATAAAAAAATTATTCTCTAAGGGATATATACTAATCCTTCTTCTATATATATCAAGAAAAGATATCAACAAAAGAAAAGAAGCGGTCATAATAAAGAATAGGAAAAAGTGTTTATCCTTTTAAATAACACAACTTATATTATTTTACTCTCACAAAGAAGTAGAATCCACACTTTTATTTTTTTGTCAACTCACTCTCTTCCTTTGTCTGTCTCTTTCTCTCTCTTAAAATGACACAACTTTACATCCTTTAAAATGTCACGCACTTTTTCCTAAAGAATAACAATAATTATTACCTTATTTGAATAAAATAATTACGACTTTATTCCCTACCCTGTACAATTCAGTAACGTATAACTCCAATTTTGCCTTAGCCTTATCCTTGGTATCTATAGCAACCCAACGAAAAGTGGGCTAGTTATACTTGTAGCATGGCAGCTAAAAATCCTATGAAAGAAACAAGGGTCACTCAGCCTCAAGATGTATCAGATTCGAGACATTCTTCCTCCAGTGACAGTATAAATTAAACTTCCTCATTAGAGTGAAATAACAGGACGAAGAGAGCCACAAGCTTTAGATGTCAAACACCTTTGTTTGGGAAACGTGCTGTAAGGTTCCAATAGCAGTCTGGTTAGCACATATGCAAGAGCAGTCAGGTTCCTTTCTGACCAGCCTTTTGTCACGGTTGATCATTAGTTTAATCAAGGGTAACTTTTTTATAACTTGGCGCCAGATTTCATTAACTGTTCCATCTGGTTCACCATACTGAAAGTATCTCTTCACCTGAAACCATATTATAAAAAAATGAAAAGTATATTTTAGCTACAAAAATTGAAACCACTGGTACCTTGGTATTTTAATTGAGCAGCAAGAAGGAAGCATCAATTCATGCAATACAAGTACACCAGTATACAAAAGATTCAAGGGACGTGATTAAAAACATACAGGGGAGAAGCAGCCGCATTAGTTCAGTTTTACTGCGTCCAATTACCATCTATACCCAAAAATTGAGTTATGTGCATTCTCAGAATGATTATATATACATTACCACCCTAATTCAAGATAGAAATCTGAACAATACATACGTCCACTTTACCTTATGAATTAATTATGAAGATTGGGGATATTTATAGCACCGGACTGCCCTTTTTGTGAAGATTGGGGACAGCAATATCACACTCTTGATCATTTGGTTATAAAGGCTCATAAAAGGCTTTCATATTATGTGAATGACAGATTTTCCTACAAAAGCTTAAGCAAATAAGTGGTGACCAAAAAATGGTTTGATATCAACAAATCACAAAATCAATCACAAAGCCACAATAAGCAAAACTTTATAACAGACAATTATTTTACAAGTTAAACATAAGTGTAGTCACAGAAAATCAACGAGAAGCTAGTATGCACTTACTCATGTAAAACAAAAATAATTAATTTATGAGACTCAATACGACAAAGTAACCATTTCTTCCGAACTATATATATTATTTGAATATATATGAAGACAGAACCATATGATGCAATAAATATTTCTCATTCTATACATTAACTATGCTAATGTCATACTTCCCATGATCAATGACTTCTCAAACTTATCTTTCATGGGTTTTTTTTTTTTTTAAACCATGTGAAAATTCCATATTAAATACAGACCAATACTAGTAAGACAATACACAATTTTTATTGCAGAAATAAATTATGCCAGCAACACTAACCTCTTTTAGTTCCTTCTGATATTCCAGGATCCTATATGGGGTAACTTCTCTCAACGTTGACACCAAATATCCTGGCTTTACAGCAGGAGAAGATTCAACAAAAATTGCAATCTTTCTATAATCTATAATATCTTCAAAGGGCAACTCAATACTATCACTAACAACCACTGGAACACACAAGCTAACAATAGCATCAAAGAGTCGGCAGGCCGATGGAGTATCTCCAGCAGGATGTAAACAGAACTTTGATGTATGCATTCCATGTGAAGCTGCTCGTCTACTCTCAGTGGATTGTGTTCCATGCTTTATTATGACATCCTCTTCATTTTCGAGAATTTGAAATAGTACATCACGAATTTTCCCTCCCTGCAAAAGGATGAGGAATCAAGGACTTAAAGAAATCAATATAACAGGAAGAAAAATGTCCAAATAAAGTATATCAAGACAATACTCTTCTGGCTTTTTAGCATTTGGATGGACCAAAAAAAAAAAATTATAACAGCACGATGCTCAAAAGTTTTTAAGTGAATATAATATGAAAACAGATACTGCACGTAGTATCTGGTACCATCAGTAGACCATTAACTTAGCAAATAATATATATCAGATTAATGACTATATTGTTAATAAAGATGAAACTCAAAGATGATGACATATATGAACTTAATAAAACAGTAACTCGAATTACAAAATTAAGAATAGATATTTTACGTGCGCATATCAGTAAATGTTTACAGCAGGATTTATAGAATCACAACGACTTAGAAGAAAAATTCTGAAGATTTTGTTTTTCAAAGAATAAACCCCTGAATTGGTGTCTATATTACTATTAGTTTTTCAAAGATATAAACAGTTACCAAAGATATAAACAGCTAAAAATATACATTGTTAAAATAATATAAGTAGTGGACAAAAAAATACTCATCGGACAACAGCAATCTCTAAATTAATAACCTATAATCTTTCATTATTCTAACTATATTGCATGCAAAACATGAAAACAATGCACAACTCAAAAAATATCATAGTAAATTTTTCATAACTTGACCTATAAATGTCACAAATTTTTTAATCACATACTTGGTAATGAAACGGCTAAAAGCACAAAAAATACTCAACCATGTATACTGAACCAATCTGTTAATATTGCCCTTCAATATGCATCATCCGCAATCAAAATGTCATCGCAAAGATGTTTTATATTTCATAGAAAGTAATTTAATGCCAGAAATCTTAAAAAAACTAATATGACAACATCCTAATATTTGAAGTATTCATTTAGGATTTTTGCCAGTGAATGTGAATTACAGTAAGTAGCAAGCAAGCGAACGCAGCGAAGCATAGTTCGCGAGAAGCTAGTCAGCAGGAATGGCGGTGGATGGAACCGCTAACGAGGAGAGAGAGAAAAAAAAAATAGAACCAGTTAGAAAAAAAAAAAGTGTTTGTTTTTTTAAATGATAGAAAGAGTTGAGATCCACACTTTTATATTTTTTTGTCTATCTTTTTTTTCTCATTTAAAGTGAGTCAACATTACATTGTTTTAAAAAAATACACACTTTTTCCTAGAAAAAAATAGGTCCCAACCGTCCTTTTGTGTATACACAGACAATTGTCTTAAATAACATGATAATGATAAACATATTCCCAGTAGGATTAAATATTATGCAAATGTAGTTACAAAAAAAAAAATTACGTAAATGTAGAATTAGCACTGATACCACAAGAACATCAAGTTGATACGTATCCAAAGACATGCATAAACTGAAAAATTATGCTTAAAAAAAAAAACTGAAAAAAACTACCTCTTTGCGATATCGATTCCCCATAAAGAACAACAAGGTGTTACGATTGTGGAGGCCAATGTCACCCTCGTACGTTCTGATACGGTGCGAGTACGGCACAACTACGTCCTTCACCAGCGAACCCTGGTCCCCTCTCAACCTCCCGAAGTCCGCAACCAGCAGCACGCTATTCCTGACCAGATCCATGACCCGACCCAGCGCATTCGGATCCGACGCAATGAACACGTGGTCCCTCCCGTTGTTCCTCCTCCAGTGCTCCTGCTCTTCAAGCCACTCCACCAGCGCCTCCTGGTTCTCCTCGTCGCTGTAAACCGGGCCGGACCCGTCCGCGGATCGGGCCGTGTTCACGATCAAGCTCAGCGACGAGAAGAACGGCACGTAGAACAGATCCGCCTCATCCGGGTCCATCACGCGGGTCACGGGAGACCCAACCCGCTCTGACTCGGGTCGTATGAGATCCGAGAAGAGGTACCACTCCCCCATGTGCTGGTGGCCGGGATACTTGAGGGAGGACACGTCATCGTCTTCGGAAATACGACGGCCGCGGGCGGCGGAGTGGCCGGCAATGACGCCGTAGGTGAATCGCCGGGGGAGATCGTGGAGGAAGACCTTGACGGAGGGAGAGCTCGTTCCGTTGTCGGCGGCGACTGAAGTTGCGGCGGAAGTTAAGTCGGTGATGTAGGTGATGTCGAGGGTGGATGAATCGTGGCGGAGGTAGAAGGCGTAGAAGAGAATGTAGGATGCGAGGATTGCGGAGAAGGTAGCTAGGGTTTTGTTGAAGAACGGTTTTCGCGCGATTGCGAAGAAGAGTGGTTGGGCTTGGGCTTTGTATAAGGCCCATTTGGACTTCTTGTTGGCCTTTCGGGCGTTAGAGTTGGATCCTTCCTCCTCCATGGGTTTTAAGTTCGGGTGCGGCGGTGGCAGCGCACTTTGATAACGTGCGCGGGGAGGGTACAGGTTCGCCGCAATCTTCAGCTTGCAGGTTGACCTATGAAAACACGAGACTTCGTTGTTTTGTTAAGTAGGAGGGGGAAACAACTAATCAGTTCAAGATACTTTGGACATATGTGTTGTTTTTTGTTGTGTAGGTAGGTGCGTGTATATGTACATCGAGGAAGATCGAAGGGTGTTATTATGATTAATTCTTGGCTTTTTTTAATATGGAAAAAATATGAATATAAAATAAATTTTGTGTGAATCATGTGTTCTTCTGTTATTTTCATTTCATTGCGTACCTCTAATCTGTCTTAATTGATCCTTTTCTCGTGTTTCTCCTTCATATTTAACAACTGATTTTGATGGATGAAATAAAGTTTTTGAGCATGACAAAGAAACTGAAAGTGGACATTATGATATTTTTTTTGGTGGTGCCCTTTATGATATATTTGATTATATTCAGTATAGGTGGAAGAAATGTTAGGAATTATTATTGACAATCTGACAGTATTTGTATTCCATTTTTGTTGTTTCATGTGTTTTTTCAATAGCAAGTTATTGAAAATAGTTTTGTCGTGGGAGGTTAAGATAGTTTATAAGAAGTAAAATATTGAATTTATTGCGTGTCCTTTATATATAGGAAAAAAAGTTTTGTCCTTTTAAAAGATACAAGTTGTGTCATTTTAATTTTTAACATTATGTACTATATGTAGTATATAGTTATAATATAAAAAATTACTTTTTTTTCTCTCTCGTCACTCACTTCAGCTAACATGGAGTGAGAAAAAAAAATTCATATGATAACTATGTACTATCCGTATAACATAGTGTTAAAAATTAAAATGACACAACTTGTGTCTTTTAGAAGGACACACACTTAACCCTTATATATAAGGGAAAATAAAACATTTTCTTTGAGGATAATGATGTGTAACATGCTGAGATTCTCTCCATATCCTATGGTGAAAACCATCATTGCAAAACCCCTGGATACATCATAGTGGATTATTGAGGAATCTAAAAGAAATAAAAATGTACCTGATTCCATCGCAACGATTGTGGTTTCTTGATGCCTTTGACTTTTGGGATTGATGGTCTTCCTCAGTCAAATCATTAGAGTGTCAAATTCTTATGCGAAAGTTATCTCTTGATGGGGATAAGAAAATTATCTGACTACGTTGACATATTGGGGACCATAACCATTTTTCTTAACTCCTTATCATTGGACTCACCAAGCTTCCACTATACCATGTTGGGCCAATGTGGATATCCACTCATTTAATCTATACTTATTTTGAAATTTAATTAGGTTACTTAATAGATTACTTAATTTACCCAATAATGTAGAAAATAAAATTTTTTAACAATCTCTCACTTGGGCTACATATAAACCTGAAACAATTATATCATATGTTTTTAGCCTGCATTTACATGCTATTTATCTTTAGATTTCACTTTAGGTACAATCTATTCCATCTTCTCTATTAATATGAGTTCATGGTGGATTTTGTTACTTTCAAAACATAACTGAACCTTCTGTGGTCATCATCCCAATATAGTTAATGACATAGATCAAGTATGGATGAGTGACATGGAAATTACATGCAATGCAATTTTTATCGATCATTCCTATTTTCAACTGGTCCTACTCTAATCCTTATGAGATCATTTCATAGTTTCCTATACCAAATGCAAAATTGCAAATAGAAAAAAATATACATTCAGAGGGAATAAATATAAACATGAAAAAAAACATATCCTTTTATTCTGTAGAAATCAAACAAATAAATGTTTTAATATGTAGAACACCCAAACGAACTCTCATTAAATCATGGTGTCCTAAAATAAAATAACACTCATATGAACAGTGTGCTCATGAAAGACCTTGGGCACCAAGCCCTTTCTCAGCAAATCTGCAAGCATGGAGTTCGTCCCAATGTGTTTTATAGGAATCTGACCACTCTTAATTATTTCCTTAACAACTAGAAACTTAATATCAATATGCTTTGATTTTGAGGAGCTTCGGTTGTTGTTAGAAAACAATACTGTTGATTTATTATCACAATATAACTTTAATAGTCTTTCAATATCATTAACCACACGCTACTCTACGACAAAATTTCGCAGCCATATCCCATGATTAGATGCCTCAAAACAAGCTACGAATTTTGTCGCAATGGTATATGAAGCTACGAGTATTTGCTAGGCACTCCTCGAAGAAATAGCTCCTTCTGCGAACATGTAAACATATCCTGAGGTGAATCGCCTACTGTCTTGGCATCTAGTGAAATCGGAATCAGTATACCTAATGATCTCTAGTTTGTTTAGTCTCCGATAGGTGAGCATGTAATCCTTCGTTCTCTTTAAAATATGTTAACCCTTTTAGCTGCTTTCCAATTATCAATTCTTGGGTTACTCAAGTATTTGCCTAATACTCCCACTATAAATGCTATGTCGAGACGGGTGCAAACTTGGGCATATATAAGACTTCATGTTGCCAAAGCATAAGGAATCTTTTCCATTTCTTTTACTTCAAGATTATTCTTAGGGCATTGACGAGATTAAATTTATCTCCTTTAGCTATGGGCGCATCTCCTGATGTACAACCTTTCATGACAAACATTTCTATAATCCTTTCGATATAACTCTTTTGTGATAATATAAGGATACCTTCACAGCGATCTCACAATATTTGTATTCCTAACACAAAAAATGCATCACAAAGATCCTTTATCTCAAAAAAATTAGTGAGAAAATTCGTAGTTTCATGAAATAAGTCTATATTGCTATTAACAATTAATATGTCATCAATATATAATATCAGGAAGATAAATTTACTCCCATTAAACTTATGATATACACAATCTTCCACCATGTTCACCTCAAAACCATAAGAGATGATAACTTGATGAAATTTGTGATACCATTGATGGGAAGCCTGTTTGAGAACATAAATGGATTTCTGTAGTTTACAAACCATAGACTTTGAATTTCTAGATACGAAGTTTTCTAGTTATGTCATGTAAATTGTCTCATCAATGTTGTCATTGAGAAACACGGTCTTATCATCCATCTAATGTAGCTCTCAATCAAAATGAGTCACAAGTGCCATAATTGTCCTGAAAGAGTCTTTCGAAGAAACCGGAGAGAAAGTCTCTTTATAATCTATGCCTTCCTTTTGAGTGAAACCTTTAGTGATTAGACAAGTCTTATATCTTTTGATATTACCCAATGAATCCCTCTTGGTTTTGAATATTCATTTACAATCAATGGGTTTTGTACCTTTAAGCAACTCGACAAGATCCAAAACGTCATTGTCTTTCATAAATTTCATCTCATCATTCATGGCATTGATCCACTTTTGAGCATTAGAACTTTCTAAGGCTAGTCAGAAGTTGATTGGATCATCTTCCTCTAAGCCCAACATATTTTTATGCTCTTGGAGAAAAATAATATAATCATTTGTTATTGTACTTCTCCTTTCTCTAATGGATCTCCTTAATGGTACTTCTTGAGATTCTTGAATTTTCTCTATAGGTTTTGTAAGGGGAATTTCATTATTGTCTTGTTCTGGAATGACATCAGGAATGAAAACCTGATTATCATTTATTTGCATTGGATTTGTATCTGGAATGATAACAACATTAGGAAAAGAAAAAAAATCTTCCTCCTCAAATACAACATTCCTTATATTATTCTCCCCTTCAAATTCAACATCCTCAAGGAATCTCACATTTCCTATCTAAAAGAAAGACTTCATGGTGGGATTGTAAAACTTGAAGCCTCGAGAGCGTTCAATATATCCAACAAAATAACATATAACCGTTCTTCAGTCCAACTTTATTTCATTTGACCTGTAAGGCCTTGCTTCAGCTGGACAACGCCAAATATGTAAATGCTTTACGTTAGGTTTTTTTCCTATCTATAGCTCATAAGGGGTTTTGGTCACTGTTTTAATTGCAACCCTATTAAGGATATATATTGTAGTCTTTAATGCTTCTCCCCAAAGTGATCAGGTAAAGAAGAGTGACTAATCACGCTTCCTACTATGTCCTTAAGTGTTCTATTTCGTCTCTTTGCAATACCATTCATGCCAGGTTTGCCTTACATTATGTATTGCAGGACGATACCACACTTCTTTAGGAATTTAGCAAAAGGTCCTGGAAGTTATTTTCCTGACTCATCATATCTATCATAATATCCACCATCACGGACGGATCTAATAGATTTAACTTTTTTGTCTAGTTGAAGTTCAACTTCGGCTTTAAACTCTTTAAACACGTCCAACGATTGTGACTTCTCATATATTTAGTATAGGTAACAGTATCTTGAATAGTCGTCTATGAACATAATAAAGTATTGTTGACCATTCCATGATGTTGTAGGGAATGACCCACAAATGTCCATACGAATTAGTTCTAAGACATCTTGAGATCTTTCTAAACCTACTTTCTTTATGTTTTTATGTTTCCCCTTAATGCATTTAATGCACAATTGAGAATCATCCAAGTCTAGGGGACTAAGAATTCCATCACTCGTAACACTCTGAATTCTATTTTTAGAGATATGGCCTAAAAGCTTATGCCAAAGAGTAGCATAATTCTCATATATTTCTGCCTTGTACCTTTTGCACTAGAGTGCATTACCTCATTGTCAATAGTATGATGCATATAAAGATTATCAATTAAAGAACCAGTACCAACAATACTTGAATCATAAAAAATACTAACTTTATTATTCTCAAAATAAAAAGAGTAACCGGGTTTGTCCAAACTGAAAATAGAATTTAACTAGAATTTTCTTGCCATAGCCCACAAAGATGTGTCTTTCAACATCACTTGGCGATCTACTCCATAAACAACCCTGCATAGACATACTTATATAAGTAGTAGCACCAGAATCTATCCACCAAGTGTCCATATGTACAAAACCAAAATTAATTCCAGAACATACTAAAGTGAGAGTCATACTCTTCTTTCACACCATGCCTTATATTTGGAGCACTCTTTCTTCATGTGTCCACTTTTCTTGCAAAAGTAGCAGGTAAGTGCCTGATCCTACTTTTTTTATTTTTTTATTTATTTAAGCTTCATTCGCA